AGCCATGAAAAACTTAATGAAATACCTAAAGGGCACAAAAAATTTAGGACTTATGTTTGAAACTAACAAAAATGGTTTAAGTTTGAAAGGCTATGTAGATTCTGATTTTGTTGAAAATTCTGACAATAGAAAGTCAACCACTACATTTTTCTATGTGATAAATGATACATGTATTAGTTGGAAAGCTCAATTACAGAAACTTGTGGCCCTATCCTCTACTGAAGCAGAGTATATTGCTGCCACAGAAGCAGTAAAAGAAGGAATTTGGCTAATGGGTCTGTTAAATAAATTAGATGTTATAAGAAATAAGGTGGAGCTTTGTTCTGATAATCAGAGTGCAATTTTCTTGAGTAGAAATCCTGTTTTTCATGATAGATTAAAACATATAGATGTTAAGTTTCATTTTATAAGGGATATTGTAGAAAAGGGTGATATAAAATTGGTTAAAATTTCTACCAAAGTCAATCCTGCAGATTTAGGTACAAAGGTAATACCTAAGTAAATTTTTTGATTCTTTGAAACTTTTGAATCTTGAAGTTTACTAATTCTTATTCTTTGTTAACAGGTAATAAAGAGCAAATGAAATACAGTTTATGATCGAATCCACTAACTAGCTTTCAAAATTCCAGCAACGTGGAGATTGTAAGGATTTGGGCTGCTGAAATCTTTGAGCCAAATGGATATTATGCTGACCCGGCCCAATGATTTTACCACACTTACTGAACATTCTAGAGTTGACAAAGTCGTGTTTTCGTGAAACGCGTTTAACTCCAAAATGCGTCATTTGCTGGATCTCTTACGCGTGGCATGATTGTGACCGTTGGATTGGTCTTTGGGGGACACCTCATATAATTAGGGTTTGAGATATTTTTGTTTAACTCTAACTTTCATTTTCTTCTTGACTGTCGTTCTTCTTCTTCGAACACTCTATTTTTCTATGGGTTTACTTTGTGATTTCTGTGTGAAATCCTTACAAAGAATTGTTGAGATTTATCTCTGTGTGAGATCTGTGTATAGAATCTGAGGGCCTCTTATGATTAGGAGAAACGGCAGTGTACTCTCATATGTTTGTAACTTGGTTTTGCCCAATATGGGTATCTTGATAGTGGATTCAAGCTTAATCCGTATGGATGCCCAACGGGGATGTAGGCGTTAGTTGGTCGCCGAACCTCAGGGCCTTTGGCCAAAAATTCTGTGTTCTTTATGATTTTTCTACACTTTTGATTTTGTATTTTACTGAAAATACTCGAACGTACAAAAGATTTGAACAACTGGGTCCAACAAGAACATTATGTACTCCTACATAGGAAGTTGAAAGAGGGCGAAACACAAATGTGTAATATGATGATATGAATCCAGCTTAACTTTATTGGTCTTTTCAAATAAAAAAAAACAGATCATATCTCTATCCCATTTTGGACCAGTAGCATGAAACTATTGAAGTTTTTCCCAACTTCAATATATGATGCTTTCTTTTACCAATTTGGAACAAGAATAAGAACAAATTTTCAATTTCTTTGCATGCTTAGTATGGTAAAAATCAACGATGATGAGAATAATGACAAATAATTGAACGAAAGAAAAGATTTTAACGGCAACTCAGAAAATGATTTCCAATCCACTTTTAAAGAATAATAAACTTCTTAATTTTTTGAAGAATTCTTCAAGGCATAAATTAAGTTTGTCATGTTCCTTAGATGATTTTGAAGGTCAAGTAACTAATATGTAATTCATCTGTGTTTTATACAACTAATATAAAACATAAACATTTTTTTTTTTAGACATCAGTAAAATGTTGTATTTTTCATCTTCATGTAAATCTAGTTAACGTCAAAACAAACTATTTTTAATGCTCAACAACTAACATAGGATAAACCAGAACTCAATTTTCTCACAAAATTAAAGATAAATTGATCCTAAAACATAACCTTACGATGCTGCAGCTGCTCCCTTATTTCAAGAGTATTATGTCTAATTTCATTCATTTCAGCAGCTGGGCTTCGTACTTATAAAGTACTGATTTATACCCAATTGATTCCCTAATCATCCATCGATTTAAATGCAGGTTTAACACTCATACATTATGGCATCGGATCGCAGTTAGATGTTGCATCTATTAGATGATGGATTTCTTTCAGACAGGTTTATTGAAAGTTGTAGAAGAGTTCATTAAATTTGCATGTCTTGAACAAGAGTTGGCGATATTGTTAAATGTCCATGTTTCATATGTAACAACGAAAAGTTTCTAAAAGACACATCATCTTTACAAAAATGGATTACAAGGGGTTATGCACATGGAGAACCATTTAGTTTCAATGGTTAAGATTTGGTTGAATCTTCGCACAAGCTACAAAAGATTATACCAATGAAGCAATGGTTCCTGAAATGTGCAATGATTATATCAATCCAAATGTTTATACACCTGAGGAACAGCCTCAAATCAACATGTAGCAATTTTTTTAGACCGTTGGAAGAAGCTGACAAACCTGTTTGGCTTGGTTGTAGTAAGCGTACCAATCTTTCTACAGTGGCACAACTCATGAATCCGAAGTCTGAATTTTATATGCCTATAGCATTTTATGATTGTATGTTGTCTGTCATTAAGGGAGTAATGCCAGAAGTCACCGGTTAGATGATACATTCTATAAACAAAGAAAATGCTATCTAGTCTTGGCCAAATCAACTAACGTTACTTCAAGGCTTGAGAAATTGGGAATTGGAATATCTAACTGTTTGTAAACAGAAATATCATACAGTCAAGAATAGAAGAAAGATAGTACACTTTGAATATGTGGAACTCAAAACAAGGGAGGACATCGATGTGGTACTGATCGGAGAACTTGATTTATTTATTTATTTATTCTCAAAATTTTCCAATCTTAGCTAAAAATTCTATAACCAAGAATGGCAGAACGATAGTCCACAATGAAATGTGGAACTCAATAAATGGGAGGACCTCGACGTCGTAAGAGTCGATGTAATAACCAAGTTAAAATAATAAAATAACTTAAAATGGTCAAAGCCAAAACTTTCGTTAAATGTGTCAAGCTAGAAATAAAAAACAATAAAATAATAATAAAGTAGCTAGGCGGTGGATGGATTTGTTTTATACCAATCTAATTTTGGATCCGAATTCATTTGCATATTTCACATAGAGAGAGAGAGAGAGAGAGAGAGAGAGGAGATGAACAAAAAAAAAAAATGGGAAGGAAATGAAAAAAAAAAAAAAATGGGAGGAGGAAAATAAAATACAAGAAGCAACAGAAAAAAATTCAATAGTAAAAGGGAGAGGACTACTGCAGGCCTTCAATAGCGTTAGTCCTGATTTCTTTAGCCACAATAGGTAAGAGGAATAATATAAGTTTCTTCAATTTTATTTGCTTGATTTGTAGCATAAAGTAAGTCAAAAGAAATGGAAGAGTATAACGGAAAAAAGTGGATAGGCAGCCTATGTTTTTGGTTACTGGCAGTGAAATCATAATTGGAAATAAAACGAGGATTTATTGAAGGCATGTATATGAGGATGAGAAAATTGTGGTAGTAACCATTGTTATGTCTAGTTATGGGCAATAATAAGCAGAGCCGGTCCAGTGTCTGATGGGCCCTGAGGCGAACTATGAAAAGTAGGCCTCCCAACGACAAAATTCAAATGTGTATTATGCAACTCATTGCTAACTTAAAAAACTAACGTTAAAGCAACAACGAAATATATTATAAAAACGATTTATATTATAAACCATCAAATCAAAAATTTCAAACAATTAGTTAAATACTATCCGTCTTCTTTTTTAGAGGCAAAAACATCAATCAAATCTGAATAACTTAGCTGCTCAACCATTTCTTTTTCTATTGATAGCATAGTCAACCCATTTAACCTTTCTTGCGACGTAGTTGATCGGAGATATGTCTTGATCAACTTTAATTTCGAGAAACTTCTTTCTGCAGACGCAACTGTAACCGGTATGGTTAATAAAATTTGGTAAGCAATATAAGCATTTGAAAAACAACATCCAATGTTTTCAAATATTGTAGCACTTCAATTGCTCTTGTTGCTTCACTTGGTATATAACACCTCAAGACTTGTAACTCTGAACATAAATCATTCCCACTGATATCCGAACACCCATTATGTTGAAGATATTTCTTAAGATTCAAACAAGAGCTCAACAAACTTGAAAAAGTTGCACCCCTTAATCTCTTCAAACTAAACAAAAATTCAAATGTATCATCATATTGTTTGAATTGTTCAAATCGGGTCCTCAGAGAAGATAGAGTTTGATCAATTATAAAAATAAAGTACTCAACTCTAAAAGATTCTTCTGTTGATTGCTTTACCTCATTACTACCGCTTTCATTAAATTGTTTTTTTCTTCGAATTATGCGTTTTTCTATAAATACAGCTTCAATTCACATTTCGCTTGCCTTTTTTGTCGCTTCATCTTTGGCAATAGCAAATCCAATTTCTCTGTATTCTTCAAGAAATGAAACAAGTCCTTGCAGGAGGTCGATAGCATGATCAATATCCATGGATTCGGCTTGAAGAAATTTACTCACAATATTAACAGCATGCAACAATTTGTGCCAGATTATCATGCCAAACAAAAACTCAAAATTTTGAAGTTCATGTGTGGCTAATGACTCGGCTTCACTCTTCACTTTAGGATCTTCATTACTTTCTGCTAAATCAAGTAATGCATCTCTTATCTGTGCAATTTGCTCCATTATAGGCTTCACAATTTCAACATGACTTTCCCAACTTGTTTGTGACAATGGCTTCACTGTCAACCCTTGTACATTATCTTTGAAAATTTTTCATCGCTTGGTAGAAGAGGAAAACAATGTGTAGATGCGTTGTATCACTCCGAAGAAGGATACAGCTTTGGAATAACAGTTCACCATATCACATAATACTAGATTTAGACTATGAGCGCCACATGGAGTATAGAAAGCTCGGGGATTCATTTCATGGACTCTTCTTTGCACACCTTTGTGCTTCCCGCTCATGTTAGATTCATTGTCATACCCTTGTTAGATTCATTGTCATACCCTTGCCCTCTAATGTCATCAATATCGAGATCAATTTTTATCAAAGCCCTTTGAAGCTTGGTTGCAAGTCTAAGTCCTGTTGTATCATCTACCTTCAAAAATTCTAGCCAACGTTCTTGAACTGTAGGTAAGTTTGACGAATTATCTACAAATCGTACAATTAAAGACATTTGCTCCTCCTGACTTGCATCTGGAGTACAATCAAGTATAACTGCGAAATATTTTGCATCTTTAACTTTCTTGACAATTGAACTTCTCACTTGATTAGCCAACAACTGTATCAACTCATTTTGAATTCTTTTGCCAAGATACGTATATTGAATCTCTCTTTGCTTTAGCCCGCTGAAGGTGCCCTTGCATTACTGGATCAAATTCACTAACCATTTCGACCATTTGTAAAAATAGGCCATTATTCTCAACATGTAGTCTCTCATCATCTCCTCGAAATGGTAATGTGTTTTTTGCAAGTCTTTTAACAATAGCGATTATCCTTGTTAATACATGTCTCCAATGTTCTCTTTCAGCATTAATCAACAATTCAACGCTTTTATCAATTGTAGTTTTTGATCGAAACCTATTTTCCAATTCAATCCAACTAGTCATGCAACGTAAATGCTCCTCATTCCCTTCATGACTTTTAATAGACCGATGCAAATTATGCCAATCTTTGAACCCATCATTACCTAGTTGGCCAACTTTTGTCACATTTATTGGTGTTTTAAACAACTTACAACAAAAGCAGAAGATCCTGTCCATAGACATTGAATATACTAGCCATCTTCTATCAATTGCTTTCCCATTTAGTAGCAGTCGCTTATATTGTGAAGAATCGAAATGTCTATTTGTATAGTCTTTTGGAAACGAGATGTCATCAACTCCTTTTGGACCCCTTTCAACTAAGTAATCCCTTGTTCTTTGATCAATAATTTTCCAATTCCCGGGATCATCCAAATTTAGAGAAAAGTAACCCTCTTCTTCCTTGTCATCTTCTTTACATTGTAGATTTGATTTTTTACCATTTTTTTGCTGGTTGATAAATTGTTGACTTTTTTTGTTTGATCCTGAGCATTTTCTTGCTTTGATGTTTCTTTACATAATTACATTTATAGATCTGCTATCTAGTTCAAGTGTTCAGCTATAGGGTAATGATCTAGGGCTATCTTTTGTCATTCATTTTCTTTTTGGGTTTATCGATTATGATGAAATGAGGTACTGATTTTTACTATATGTGGAGATTTCATTTTTATTGTAATTTTCAGTATGATGGATGACATTTCATTAGAATGTTAATGATTTCAACATTGATTTGGTTGATCGGGTTTGTGTTGTAAATCTCTAGATACATGACGAAGCAAAGAAGTTCTCGTATCAAACTAGAGTAAAGGTTGTGGTTGCTTATGGTGGGGCACCAATTTTCCAGTAGGTTCGAGACTTTTTACATCTGAAACTGAAATTGTTATGTTGTTTTGACATTGGCTATTAATTTATCTTAACATCCTTTGGCTAAATTCTGATCAATGTATTTGTTGATTGTAATGTTAGAATGGTTGAATGGTTTAAGTAGATTGTTAGATTGTAAGGTAATGAAATTAGAAAGCCTACATGATGGCTCCATAGGCGTCTTGTTGAGGTAATTGACATGTATTAGTGATTTTTATATTTCTTGCAATGATGTTTTGTCATTCTAAGATACTAAGATACTACAAGTAATTTTTATTTTTTTAGGTTTTACAATTTCAGTTTTTGTGGTTAACTAGTGAGGATAGTAATATCATTATCTTTGGAATGGAGTTTCCGTCCTTGCCTACTTGACTGTCTTCTATAATGAAAGTGTCTATCTCTGCTTTCTTGAGTGCCTTTGGTAAGTGAGCACATGTTTAATTTGTAAGCCAAATACAATTTCATTATATGTAGTTTTTGTCTTTCTCTGTTCGTAAAATTTGTTGATCATTACTTGACAAGGATGTGGTTTAAGGAAATCTATGATTATGTTGGTAAAATTAGTTGATCATTTATATTATGTATATTTATTAGCGATTTTCAACTCATGTCAAGAAGCAAGTTTGTCGTTCTTATTTTAGTGAAGCTGTGCATACAATTTGTAGTCACATTTAATTTTTGTTATGTTGTTTTATTTGTACTATTTTGAATAAATTTTGACAAAATGTGTGAAAATACATTAACCATATTACTTATTTTTGTGATTTGCAGGGATTTTTGATTATTTTTTCGATAGCTAAAATGTTGATTAGAGAAGTAAATTTCTTGATATATGGATCAATTATTTTGTAATAGTTTAACTAGTTATTTTGGAATAGTAGTCTATATTTTGGCATATTGTATTGGACCAGACTCAAGACTTTCTTTCGTTGAATTTATGGAAAAGATGATTATATATGTGTTGATATATGAATTTGTTCTTTAAGTATTTGTGTTTGGTGATCAAATAAATATATATTTTTTCAAAAAATTAAATGGACATTTACGGCATGCATGCATTTTCTACTTTTTGGTCAAAATTTTTAGCGATACAGAAATCTGTAAATTAATTGTTGTAGGTTAGTTAGCATTTGAAACTGTAAATTAGATCTCTTAAAATAAAAATCTTTATATGAAATGAAATATTAAAGCATGATAATTTCAAATGAAGTTTCAAGTAACACCATAGGGAACAAAGGTAGAAATCTACCTCTGGACAAAAACGTACGATAACACGAGGAAAAGCTTTGTTTTCTATTTATTCATGTATAGACTACACCTCGCTAAAATAAAAAATTTCTTCTTTTACAAAAAAGGGGTACTTAATAGGCTCATACTGCTTAGATGTTGATAAAGTTACCTACTAAAGAAAAGTACAGGGTTGTGATACTGTAGTAAAGAATAAAAATCAAGTGAAAAAGGAGAGAGAAATTGCGTGTGACACTGTGACTGTGAGAAAAAATAAGCAAGCAAAAGAGTGTTTAGATAGATTTGTAATTAGAAATATATAAATATGTATTTAAATTGATTGTTTGGTTAAATTTAAAAAAAAAAAAAATTAACCATACATTTCATAAATTTTATAAATTGTCCATCATATATTTTATTAATAGTTATTTTAATTTATTAAATTTCTGATTTTTATTTGAAATCAAATATGAGCTTGATGACAACATTAATTGATATAGTTATTTCCTTACATGTTTCTTTTTGCTATGCTAGAGCATCGTTGACACAATTGAAAAATTGAGATAAACTTACCACCAATTCAGAAAACGGGATCATTCTTAAGGGTGTAATTCCACAATTTTCGTCAAAATTTCACTTATCAGGTAAGCAATGGCTTACCCTAAGTTGTTATTGAAGAGATTGTAAATGTTTGAAGCCTTGTTGGCTTATATAATTGCAGTCTGGTCGGCTTATATGATTGCTTATTGTAGGATGAACAATTGTACAGACGCACGTAATAACTATGTTGGAGACTATAAATGTGAGATAATTGAGTTGTTTTGTAATTTTTTTTAGGCTAATCATTGGACATTACTATGCCTCCTAAATACGAGTCTGGTGCTCAAAAGAGGAAAAGAAAACAAAATGAAATTGCATTAATTCAAAGTCAAGCAGGGGATATTAGTAAGTACTTCAAAAGTGACAATGTGAATGCGTTGAATGAGGATAAGGATGAAGAAGTAAGTCAACCTACTGATGTTAATGAAGTAGATGATAATGAAGAAGAAGTGATGAAGCCCGCCTCTAATGAGGAAGAAGATGATAAGGAAGAAGAGGGTTGCTTTTCTCTAAATTTGGATTATCCCGGGAATTGGAAAATTATAGATCAAAGAACAAGGGATTACTTAGTTGAAAGGGGTCCAAAAAGAGTTGATGACATCTCGTTTCCAAAAGACTATACAAATAGATATTTCGATTCTTCACAATATACGTGATTGCTACCAAATGGGAAAGCAGTTGATAGAAGATGGCTAGTATATTCAATATCTATGGACAGGATCTTCTGCTTTTGTTGTAAGTTGTTTAAAACACCAATAAATGTGACAAAAGTTGGCCAACTAGGTAATGATGGGTTCAAAGATTGGCATAATTTGCATCGGTCTATTAAAAGTCATGAAGGGAATGAGGAGCATTTACGTTGCATGACTAGTTGGATTGAATTGGAAAATAGGTTTCGATCAAAAACTACAATTGATAAAAGCGTTGAATTGTTGATTGATGCTGAAAAAGAACATTGGAGACATGTATTAATAAGGATAATCGCTATTGTTAAAAGACTTGCGAAAAACACATTGCCATTTCGAGGAGATGATGAGAGACTACATGTTGAGAATAATGGCCTATTTTTACAAATGGTCGAAATGGTTAGTGAATTTGATCCAGTAATGCAAGAGCACTTTCGGCGGGCTAAAGCAAGAGAGATTCAATATACGTATCTTGGCAAAAAAATTCAAAATGAGTTGATACAGTTGTTGGCTAATCAGGTGAGAAGTTCAATTGTCAAGAAAGTTAAAGATGTAAAATATTTCGTAGTTATACTTGATTGTACTCCAGATGCAAGTCAGGAGGAGCAAATGTCTTCAATTGTACGATTTGTAGATAATTCGTCAAACTTACCTACAGTTCAAGAACATTGGCTAGAATTTTTGAAGGTAGATGACACAACAGGACTTGGACTTGCAACCGAGCTTCAAAAGGCTTTGATAAAAATTGATCTCGATATTGATGATATTAGAGGGCAAGGGTATGACAATGGATCTAACATGAGCGGGAAGCACAAAAGTGTGTAAAGAAGAGTCCATGAAATGAATCCCCGAGCTTTCTATACTCCATGTGGCCCTCATAGTCTAAATCTAGCATTATGTGATATGGTGAACTGTTGTTCCAAAGCTGTATCCTTCTTCGGAGTGATACAACGCATCTACACATTGTTTTCCTCTTCTACCAAGCGATGAAAAATTTTCAAAGATAATGTACAAAGGTTGAGAGTGAAGCCATTGTCACAAACATGTTAGGAAAGTCATGTTGAAAGTGTGAAGCCTATAATGGAGCAAACTGCACAGATAAGAGATGCATTACTTGATTTAGTAGAAAGTAATGAAGATCCTAAAGTGAAGAGTGAAGCCGAGTCATTAGCCACACATGAACTTCAAAATTTTGAATTTTTGTTTGGCATGATAATCTGGCACAGATTGTTGCATGCTGTTAATATTGTAAGTAAATTTCTTCAAACCGAATCCATGATATTGATCATGCTATCGACCTCCTGCAAGGACTTGTTTCTTTTCTTGAAGAATACAGAGAAATTGGATTTGCTATTACCAAAGATGAAGCGACAAAAAAGGCAAGCGAAATGGGAATTGAAGCTGTATTTACAGAAAAAACGCATAATTCGAAGAAAAAAATAATTTGATGAAAGCGGTAGTAATGAGGTAAAGCAATCAACAGAAGAATCTTTTAGAGTTGAGTACTTTATTTTTATAATTGATCAAACTCTATCTTCTCTGAGGACCCGATTTGAACAATTCAAACAATATGGTGATATATTTGGATTTTTGTTTAGTTTGAAGAGGTTAAGGGGTGCAACTTTTTCAAGTTTGTTGAACTCTTGTTTGAATCTTGAAAAATATTTTCAACATAATGGGCGTTCGGATATTAGTGGGGATGATTTATGTTCGGAGTTACAAGTCTTGAGGGTGTTATATACCAAGTGAAGCAACAAGAGCAATTGAAGTGCTACAATATTTGAAGACATTGGATGTTTATTTTCCAAATGTTTATATTGCTTATCAAATTTTGTTAACCATACCGATTACAATTGCATCTGCAGAAAGAAGTTTCTCGAAATTAAAGTTGATCAAGACCTATCTCCGATCAACTATGTCGCAAGAAAGATTAAATGGGTTGGCTATGCTATCAATAGAAAAAGAAATGGTTGAGCAGCTAAGTTATTCAGATTTGATTGATATTTTTGCCTCTAAAACAGCAAGACGAATAGTATTTAACTAATTATTTGAAATTTTTGGTTTGATGGTTTATAATATAAATCGTTTTTATAATATATTTCGTTGTTGCTTTAATGTTAGTTTTTTAAATTAGCAATGAGTTGCATAATACACTTTTGAATTTTGTCGTTGGGGTGGCCTACTTTTCATAGTTCGCCTCAGGGCCCATCAGATACAGGACCGGCTCTGACTAGACTGAGAGTGTTTCGGAGAATATTGACATATATCTTTCTTCAGATGATAATGATGGACTTGATGGTAGGGAAGGGGTCCTAACTACGGTACTAATGGTTGTGCAGAAGAATCTGGAAAAAATTCTTTAACTGTGGGAGACAATAGGTATCTATGTGATATTTTTTTATTTGTTTTGTATTGAATGCAAAATGGTGTCACTGGTTTTTAAACTGACTAAACGGGATAAAATGCTGGTTCCATTCATTTCACGTAATTGTTTACAAACGAGGGGGTAAATTGTTGGTTTTGCTTTGCCATTACATTCAACTTGTGTGAATAATTCCCCACAGTTATTTTCTGCTACTTCATTGGCTCGTATATCAGCCAGCTCCATATGTCTTTTTGTGTTTTTGGTGAAAATGTTCATCTCGTGCTTTATTACCTTCCAGTTTTAAGGCTAAACAATAAAGAGTTCCTGCATTGTCACTTGAGCATCAGATCTATATTGGTGTAGCAAAATATGTAGCTTTATTTAAATTATGAGATAAAACCTTTTATGTAACTGAGGAGATTCAGAGACTGAAAATGGAATGCTAATTAATAGTTCATTGTTCACTTTAGAAAAATCAGCAGGCTACATTTTGAAGAATGTGAATCTGTTATTTTTTTTAATTCCCTTATTATCAGCTCTAATTCCCTCACTTCTTTAAGATCCCTGCTATCTGCTTTAAATTCTGTGCGTCTATTTTCATGCTTGCAGATTTATTACTCCTTCAGCATCGCATGCTGCAAGTGCCAACTTGAAATCATATTTGGGTGGACTTTTCCTACATATAGTTTGGTGCCAGTTGACATTAAAAATATTGTTGTGGAAAAGATTTCAGGTAACATAAATTTCTTTAAACATGTTATTGTCCTTATAACTTTATTGTTTCATACTAATGGTGGGTACCTACATTAGCAACTAGACACATGGCCAAAAAATAAGAGAATGAGGTGGAGAAGGCACGGAACACCGCCTCAACTGATAAATTGTGAGATATATTTTGTTTGGCTCGAAGGAAGGTTAAGGAAAATAGTGGGTCTGAAAATATAGCTGATTGTAAGGGATATGGACCACCGTAGTTAAGTGTAAAGCAATGGAATGAGATAATTCAGAACTAGTGGAACAATGAAGGATGGAAGAAGAAGTCTAAATTTGGCCGTGATAATCACCCATCCACGATAAAGTTGGTAACCATTACTAAGCACAATGTTGGTTCATTAACAATTGTTGCCCACAAGCTGAGACTGGTAATGTTATAACCCAATTTTTTCTAGTCAAAAACTCAATAGTTGACTCATCAAAATTTAAGTCAAATAAGGACTAAAATGAAATAAATTATTTTATTTGATTTTACTTTACAAATTGACAATATTTGAAGGTTTAAGATGGATAAAATTTAATTTTGGGATCTACTTACATATTATTGGAAGTTAAAGGACTAAATGTCGTGCTAAATTGAAGAAGAGGGGCTTGCTCTGCAAATAAGAGTAGTGGCCACTTTACACTTACACCCATTTTCCATTTGCAATCCCACACACAGCCGAGAGCAGAAGAGAAAACGGGGAGGAAGAAAAGGAGAAAGAAAACAAGAAAAAGAAGAGGAAAAGGAAAAAGAGGAGGAGAAGAAGGGAAAATAGGTAGTTCAAGCTTGTTTTCATTTTGCCTTTTCTTTATTTTCTTCAAGAGATAAAGGAATAATTTTATGTTAAATTTCTAGGGTTTTAATTAGTGGTATAAATTTTCTGATTTATGAGATATGAGTACAAATTGGAGCTCAAGTTTCTTGATTCTTTAGTTTCCAATTTCATTAAGGTAAGAAGTACCATTTTTGGCAAACCCTAGATTTTAAATTGGATGCTTGAGTAAGGATTAATTGTGAAAGTGATTACATTGATGAAATTATTCACTTGAAAGAATGGTGCTATGGAACAAGATGTCTATAAAATTGGTTGTAGTATGATTGCTAGTTTTCACTAAATTTAAAGCGATAATTATTTTTACGAGTGGGATGAAGGTAAATTTGGATAAAGTATATATTTGTGATGGTATTAGAAAGTAGAATTAGCTTCAATTGATTAAAGAAATATCTAGGAAATTTATTCAAGTATTGAAAAACTTAGTTTAAGTATTATATCATTAGAGATAAAAGGTTTCTAAATTTGTTAATAGTTAATATGGTTATCTTATATTATATTTCAGGTAGTGACGAGAACATTGGAAAAGCCCACCGACCATCCTAGGCTATAGCTTGTATTATGCGAGTGGAAAAAATTTATTTTTCAGAAATAAGTATTCATAAAATTTAAAGTTATTTTATAAGTTGAGTTGATAGCATGATTTCAGAATAAAATGGATTTTATAATCAATGATTTTTAAAGTTAAATTCAATTTAGCTAAATCATTTCATTATTATGTTATAGTTGTATTAAATATTTCCACTAATCTAAAGTTATTTTTAAAATCACTTAGAAGTACTCAAGTAATTTTACCCTAGTCTGAACTTGTGTGAATGTGTTTCCATAATGTATGACTACATATAGTTATTTTATCAACTCTGCATTGGTGTGAATTTATTTCCACAGTATATATCAGTTATGGTGAGTTTACTCGCTTTGTACTATTGTGAATGTATTTCCATAAAGTATGACTATGTTATAGCCTTTGAACACATTTGCACGCATATAACTAGAATTTCTGAATTACTAAATTTCAAAATTTCAGAATCACAAAATTTCAGAATTGAATAACATTGCCGTGTACATCGAGATTAATTGGCACATGAGTATGGTTATTTCGAGTATCTTTTTGGTGTGATTTTAAATAATATATACAACTTATTAGATTTCAGACTACAGAATTTAGTTTATTCAATTTAAAGAATACAGATTTTAGCTTAAAGTATTATAAAAGGATATATTTATTATATAATAATTTTCAAAAAAGATGTCATAAATGGAAAATATATACTTATTCATGAAATATCTACTCATTGAGTTACAAACTCATATATTTTATCACCCTTTTCTTATCAGATAATAACTGAGTTGAGTAGCATTGGAGCCTAATTTACCGAGTTGAGCCACACAGTCGTTATTTGTATGATTCATCATGTTAGGTTATACTGTTCCTATATTTGGTATAGACACAACTTTTGTCACGAAATGTATCCATATCATGGGCTCAATGCATATTCTTGTTTATGTTGTGAATTTGGAGTTGTCTGGTTTGTTAAGAAGTGTAAATTTTATTCCTATGCACTTTAATTTGAATAGTGTTATTCTAAGGGGTTGGTTTACCCTATTTTATATTATATATATTGATTTTCGAAAATTGAGTTTTGTTGAGGCGGATTTAGTCCATATTTTGGAGGAAAACTTCAATCATTTTTATTTTATTTTATTTATTTATTTTAAATTCTCCATAGCCAGACCAGGTCAAGATTGCCTTGGTAGTGGTCCAGTACTTAGCTAGTATCTATTATCGGCGCACGACACGTGTCGAGTCCATAAAGGTGATTCGGGACGGGTCATGTTAGGTAATGTTTAATTTTTACGAATCATTTGCA